AGAGGAATTGGAAAGTGATATAAACGGATGTTGAGAGCTGTGAGCTGCTTTAACATCATTATTTATTTATTTATTTATTTGTCTATTTTGGTGGTGTTTGCGGTTAGTATTTTGTCGTTTTAACTTTGAAACAGAGTGAAGTTTGCGCTTTATTTCTTATATCAGATACTACGGTTGTTTTGCCGCTTTCCGATCAGTAATGTACACCTCAATAGGGCAACTACTGAAAACTAATAATCTGTCAGTATATCTGCAGTATGATAATGTATTATTTATTTATGAGGAAGTTTCATTTTTGGCTCATTTACATTTTTTATTCATTTCTTCGGTATGCAGTATGGTCATTTAACGGTAGTTGTTTAGTATGGTCATTTAACGGTACTTGTTTAGCATGATCATTTAACGGTACTTGTTTAGCATGATCATTTAACGGTACTTGTTTAGTATGGTCATTTAACGGTACTTGTTTAGTATGGTCATTTAACGGTATTGTTTAGCATGATCATTTAACGGTACTTGTTTAGTATGGTCATTTAACGGTACTTGTTTAGTATGGTCATTTAACGGTACTTGTTTAGTATGGTCATTTAACGGTACTTGTTTAGTATGGTCATTTAACGGTACTTGTTTAGTATGGTCATTTAACGGTAGTTGTTTAGTATGGTCATTTAACATTTAACGGTACTTGTTTAGTATGGTCATTTAACGGTACTTGTTTAGTATGATCATTTAACGGTACTTGTTTAGTATGGTCATTTAACGGTACTTGTTTAGTATGGTCATTTAACGGTACTTGTTTAGTATGATCATTTAACGGTACTTGTTTAGTATGGTCATTTAACGGTACTTGTTTAGTATGGTCATTTAACGGTATTTGTTTAGTATGGTCATTTAACGGTACTTGTTTAGTATGGTCATTTAACGGTACTTGTTTAGTATGGTCATTTAACGGTACTTGTTTAGTATGATCATTTAACGGTACTTGTTTAGTATAGTCATTTAACGGGTTTAGTATGGTCATTTAACGGTACTTGTTTTTAGTATGGTCATTTAACGGTATTTGTTTAGTATGGTCATTTAACGGTACTTGTTTAGTATGATCATTTAACGGTACTTGTTTAGTATGGTCATTTAACGGTACTTGTTTAGTATGGTCATTTAACGGTACTTGTTTAGTATGGTCATTTAACGGTCATTTAACGGTACTTGTTTAGTATGGTCATTTAACGGTACTTGTTTAGTATGGTCATTTAACGGTACTTGTTTAGTATGGTCATTTAACGGTACTTGTTTAGTATGATCATTTAACGGTACTTGTTTAGTATGGTCATTTAACGGTACTTGTTTAGTATGATCATTTAACGGTACTTGTTTAGTATGGTCATTTAACGGTACTTGTTTAGTATGATCATTTAACGGTACTTGTTTAGTATGGTCATTTAACGGTACTTGTTTAGTATGATCATTTAACGGTACTTGTTTAGTATGATCATTTAACGGTACTTGTTTAGTATGGTCATTTAACGGTATTTGTTTAGTATGGTCATTTAACGGTATTTGTTTAGTATGGTCATTTAACGGTACTTGTTTAGTATGGTCATTTAACGGTACTTGTTTAGTATGGTCATTTAACGGTATTTGTTTAGTATGGTCATTTAACGGTACTTGTTTAGTATGATCATTTAACGGTACTTGTTTAGTATGGTCATTTAACGGTATTTGTTTAGTATGGTCATTTAACGGTACTTGTTTAGTATGATCATAATTATATGTGTGTCATATGATCGTTTATTAATTACATGATGCTTATTGTCGTAACTTGGGAAGCAAGATCAATAGGTGCGTAGTATAAGCATTCCTGACCTTGTACAGTAAAACTATTTATGTACAACAGTTACTATACAATGTGATCCTTTCTCAATTCCTGTATAGTCTGATTATCGGTTTGTACTACACATCATGACAAAGCTACACGTCACCCCGGTGTTAGGGATCTCCAGATAAATCATTCCTGTTGTCTGGGTCCTTTAATAAACCAACCGTCACCGGAAAACACAGACGGTGAACTGTGCAATGTATATTTATTGGCGCATAAAAGTTACGAGTAGAACAGCTGAATGACAGATGTATAACAAATATGAGGGACTTTCACAAATCTGAGGGACTTTCATAAATTTCCCCAGTCAGCCATTTATGTACACTAAAATATCTATTTTCAAAGTAGGGCAAATTGTGAAGTTTTAGGTACAGATCGCAAAATACTGATTGTAACGTAGACAATTTGCTTGGCAACTGAAACAATGACTTACGTTCACGGAAATGTACATACTCTATGACATTCTTGTCGAGATAATGCAGGTATCGAGCAAGATCAGAAGGACTCCGGTAGTCGGCAGTGTTTATGTATGTTCCGTCTGGAAGGACTGACTGACTGACTAAGTTTGGTTTTACGCCGCTTTAAGCAATATTCCAGCAACATCACGGCGGGGGACACCAGAAATGGGCTTCACACATGGTGCCCATGTGGGGATTCGAACCCGGGTCTTCGGCGTGACGAGCCAACGCTTTAATCATTAGGCTACCCCACCGCCCCTCCGTCTGGAAGGAGGGTGCTGTATTGTGCCCCACCCCTCACGACCGGGATAATGTCGGTTGGGTAAGTCTGAAATAGCTCATCTGTAATCAACACACAAATCATTTTCAAACGCCAGGTAAAATTTATACTTTCTTGTAACGCGAAAATGGTGGTTATGCCGGAAAGCGAATCGGATACATTTGATTCTTCTCAGGTAGCGTCAACATCAACGGAAATGTGTCGACGAAGTTGCTCGACATTTCTTTCCCTCCTCGATGAGGTATTACAGTCGTTTGTCACCCATAACGCTCGCCTCGTTTTTCTTTGGAGGACGTCCTCATAATGTTTCATTTTTATGTGATTACAATACCTTGTTCCTACGCCCCTGAAACGAGAATGTTATTTGGTACCACAATGTCTGAATCAAGGCGGAAAGACATCGTCCAGTTGAATTTATCGTTCCAAAGTGTCTGTCTATGAGCATCGGAAAACACACCATGATAGTTTGGTTTATGAGGAGGTTTTAAACCACGTAAGGTCAGCGTGTCAAATATCACAGCATCGGCTGAAAGGACATGGCTTGTAATTTCACAAGCATATTTTGCGCATGCGCCGAGATCTTTTTACAATATCCGTTTCCGATATCCAAGATGGCTGAATCAAAAATGTTTAACAAACGATCATAGATTCAAATCGCTATTACTGGTTTGTATTACAATGGGGTAAGCGCAGTAATTGGAACAGTGAAACAAATGCACGTGCGGTACACGAAGAGCGTTAACTTATAACAGCCCTTGTCGTTTTCGGTGTTTCATTTGATGTGCATACCCCCTTGTAATACAAACCAATAATAGCCATGCGAAACTATGATCGCTTGTTAAACAACTTTTATCCTAAGTCGAATAAAATTCTGAGATTTAAATGTTCAATTGGCAAGGTAAAATCATGAGGATTCGCAGTCTTAAATTCACTTTATTTGTTTTACTTTTTGGTTTAAAGTGACATTCATCGGTATTAACAATGTTAAGAAAAGTGCTTCACACATTGGTCCACGAGGAGAATCGAACCCGGGTGTTCAGCGTGACGACCGAACGCGTTAACCACTTGGCTATCCCACCGCCATTATTTATTTAGAACTGTGCGTGTTTATTGTTCATCTTTGTTGGTTACTTGAACAACACATTAAATCGAAAGCTGAATGTATGCATATTTTTTCAGGAGCCAAAAATGATTTATCAGTTTTAGATGTATTGTTTTAGAGGAAGAACTCTTGTATATACCGAAAGAATATGTTATTTAAACAAACATTTTAAAGTTTGTGCACTTTTTTATTTGTACCAAACTTGGTAGTAATAAAAATAATTAATTCTTTTCGTAATTCAACTATGCAAAGTGTAAAATATTCCAATTAGTCTTGTATTCATTGTATTAAATGTCATCTTTGATTCACCTTCACAGATTTCGGACTGAGAGTAAAAAAAGCCTCCTTAAGAGACTTATGCGTGTGATACCGAGGTAATACTAACAATCACTCAGTTATTGGGGGGTGAAATATACTACTTCGAAAGCATAATCACTTTCGATTGTATAATGACTGACGAATACGGGACGCTGTGCAGTTAATTGTACAGTTAGGTGATAGACCACTCGTTCCCTCACGTTACATAAGCTGCATAAGCAAATATCTATGAAGTTCGTCTGAGTACAATTGATAAAATCAAATACATGTCAATAAACAAATTGACTTGGGTGTGACTAAAGATTCGCGCGATGTGTTAAGTTTGGAAAACACAGCAGCGGTATAAGGGAGGCAACTCTGGTAAAGGAAGTAGATCTCTTTACTAGAGTCCGTGACAGCAGAATTATGGCACAAGTATGATACAATCTAAGATTATGTCGACTGGTAGACACATTAAACCTAACATATATATAACGAGCATCATATTTGTGTGCCTTTTCTATATTTCCAAAACAAGAAATTGGTTGCTTGATGTTGTAATCCATTTCAATAACCTGCCATTACATAACAAAATACATCTGAATACATTTTTTATGCATGGTAAATACAATGTTTTGGTGGAGTATGCCTACTTATATTAATGATACCATATAGATATCAACACTGAACAGTATCCCCCCCCCAAAAAAAATAAAAAAATAAATAAATAAATAGATAAATAAATAAAAAAATAATTAAAAATAAAATAAATAAATAAATAAATAAATATTAAATAAATAAAATAAATAAACAAAAATAAATGAATAAATAAATAAATAAATAAATAAATAAATAAATAAATAAACCAAAACAAAACAAAACAAAACAAACACAAACAAAACAACATAAAGGTCACTCTGACCTCACTCATCAATTAGACAAATCGCTGAAACGTTTCTCTACACAATGAAAACAAACCCAGGGAAATCAAAGAGCATTCGTTTTATTGTCAGACGATTGTTAATATTGTTCATTCCAGGTATTTATGCCGATGTTTGATGATAATGACAATGTATTATAGTTACTGGAAGGAATTCATCAGTTGTGGTCACTTTCGAATTGGAGATATTTCCCAAAGACTTGTTCGTACTGGATGTACTATTTCTGATCTTCTTAAGCTTGTTCTTCCCTACGACGTCACAGTCACCAACAGTTTCGTCTTGCAGAACACCAGACTGGTACCTGTAAACAATCCGAGTCGAGACGTTTAGGACAGATAATGAATGGGTTAGCTTCAAATTTTGAAACACCAAATATCATCATCTATATTCTCAAGCACGACGTTAAACCCAATTTCGCCTCACCTCACCTCATCATCTATAATATGTAACACTTCGTTGCAGTAGGCAATCTCCCTTCCTGTGTGACGGCGGTCTGTAAAAAAATAGAGTTTGGACCAGGCGATACAGTGATTGGGGGCGCGGTGGGCGAACTGGCTAAAGCGCCAGGCTAGTGATCCAGCGAGATTGAGGTGGCGGGATCGAGCCCACCTGTGACCGGGTGTAAAAACCTTGGAGTCAACTTTGTGTGCAGACTCTTTCAGTGTTGTCACAACCCCTAGTGTACGGTACACAACCCTGTGCACTTAAAAGAACCCACGAATCCGTTGGTATATGACCAGATGGTGGCCACATGAATACGTGCAAACACCCAGTTGCGGGTACAGCAACGTGCAGTAAACATGGACAAAGTACTGTGACTATGTGTCCCAGTCCACCCAGCTGTAAAAATGGGTACCTCGTAAGGATGGGAATGCCACACTAACTCGGTGCGCCTAGTAGGCTGCAAGAGTTGTATGCTCCCCAGGGGAGTTGAGATTGACAATACGATGTGCCGTTGAGATTGACATCCAGTGAACGAGGGAAAAACAAAGCGCCTTTGAGCAGCTGAGCTGAGCTGGATATCGGAGCTATACAAATGCTAGCATAATAATTGCCACTATGGGCATCGATCTACGCTACTGGGATACGGTGAACTGCATCAGCGAGCATGACTACCCGATCCGTTGGCCTCCTCTGACAAGCGCACTGAAATGTCAAAGACATCAATTATAGAGTTTAAAGCAATATTCATGCAATATAATCGCAAGAAACAGTGGAAATGTAAATTGTGACCATGTGAGGAATCGAACCCGGGTCTTTGGAGTAATGAGCGAACTACCAGGCAATGAACTTATATGTACCCGTGAAGATCCGGTTTAGAATCGGTCTTCAGCTGCCCATACGTAAGAGGTGACTACTGACTGAGTTTGGTTTTACGCCGCTTTTAGCAATATTCCAGCAACATCACGGCGGGGGACACCAGAAATGGGCTTTACACATTGTACCCATGTGTGGATTCGAACCCGGGTCTTCGGTGTGACGAGCCAACGCTTTAACCACTAGGCTACCCTACCGCCCCTAAGAGGTGACTAACGGGATCGGGCTGTCAGGCTGTCTGACTTGGTTGACACATGTCATCGACTCATCGTATTTTTATGTATTTTATTATAGGATATTTATATAGCGCAGATATCCACGCACTAGTGCATGCTCAAGGCGCTGGTATTTTTTCCCTCGATCATTGGATGTCAATATCAGCTGTACATCGTATTAGCAATCTCAACTCCCTGGGGAGTATACAACTCTTGCACCCACTAGGCGCACCGAGTTATTGTGGCTTTCTCATCCTAACGAGGTACCCATTCACAGCTGGGTGGACTGGGACACATAGTCACAGTACTTTGTCCAACTTCACTGCACATTGCTGTACCTGCAACTAGGTGTTGGCACGTATTCATGTGGCCACCATTTGGTCATATAACAACGGATTCGTGGGTTCTTTTAAGTGCACAGGGTTGTGTACTGTACGCTAGGTGTTGTGACAACACTGAAAGAGTCTATACACAAAGTTGACTCCTAGGTTTTTACACCCGGTCACATGTGGGCTCGATCCTGGCACCTCAACCTCGCTGGATCACTATCGTGGCACCTTAGCCAGCTCGCCCATCGCGCCCCCAATTGTATCCCAATTGCTTAGATCGATGTTCATGATGTTGAACACTGGATTGTCTAGTCTAAATTGTTTAATGATCGCTGTCAGTTTGCTGGAATATTGGTGACAATGCTGAGTGTGGCGTTAAACAACAAACAGAACAGGAGGCATATCTCGATATGTTTACTGAACCACTTTCGTGTTACTTACCAACGTGTTTATCCGGTTCTCCCAATGGGCTTGGAAAAATGTCATCTTCCAAATCAAAACAAACGTTCTTAAAACATCTGCTATCATTTTCAGGTTCCGTCCTTTATGTTGGTAACTTTAGACAGACGTATTTTCAGTTTGGTCCACAGATTGAGGCAACACACCTCTCCCTTCTTCATCAGAATCCATGTTAGCGCGACATCCCGTATCCCTCGCATTGCACGCTTTTCTCGTTTTCCTGCTATTATGCAATCATCTCTCTGTTGTTTTCTATTGCAATCCTTTTTAAGGGTATCGACTCAATCAAGATTCAACTTCGAATGTTGAAAATTATGATTACTTATAGATGTGATTTGCTTAGGATGTAGGTGTAAGTGTTTTAGTTCAAGAATTTCGTGTACAAACGCGTCTCGTTTGCGAAGCTCGCTCGGCGCGTTCACAGGTTCTCCTACCTTGGTCATTAAAGAACCCGTGAAGATCCGACTTAGAATTGGTCTTCAGCATCACATGCTTGTCGTAAGAATCAACTAACGGGATCGGGTAGTCAGGCTTGCTGACTTGGTTGACATATGCCATCGTATCCCAGTTGCGTAGACCGATGTTCATGATGTTGATCACTGGATTCTCTGGTCGACGACTCGATTATTTACAGACCGTCGCCATACAGCTATACAACACTTTTGATACAACAAAACAGTAACTCCTACCAAAAAACTCTCGCGATGAGAACGCTTGAACCTCGCAGGTGTTACGCGTGGGATGTTCCTCTAACATGACGGATTGCACGCTGGTTGACGGACGAGTGTTACAGATATAGGTACGGTATGTGTTTGGTGATGACACGACTTAACGACACGCAGTGTAGATGAGGGATACAAGACACGATTTAACGACACGTAATGTAGACGAGGGATACAAGTGAGAGACTTGGACGATGCATCGGGCGACTTATATGAAGGATCACATTGCCAGGGTATGAAACTCCCAAAACTTTCAGCCAGACCACATAACTGGTTAGATGTAAAACTTGCTAGCCCTGATCAAAACTTACCTGCCCACAAAAATAAAATACTAATAAGCATGTTTAAATTTTAACCCGACCGTCGGGCAGGTGAATTGAGATTCTGGCAGTCCGTGTTGAAAATAACCCGTCCCGGGCGGTCGGGCAGGCAGGTATTTCGAACGCTGAGTCATTGCAGTTTCAAAGCGTTAGATCTATCTTACCTCACTGGACTGCACTGTTATATGAAACGTCTCCTTTGTTTCGCTAATCGACCCGCACGTCAGGTTCACCGGGTTCTCAAGGAGCATCAGCGCGTGGCTGGTTGATCTCACATTAATGTTATTTACTATATTATCTTCGGTCGAAGTCGTTAGACATACCGCTCTGTGGTAAATCGTCGGTGTGTGTAACCGCGTCGTAAACTCAGTTGTGGAGGCAGCAGTTTCATCTCATAGAATTATTGACCGCATGGCCGTGTTTGTGCGGAATTAGTGGGTGAGTGAGAATTATTTTACGCCGCTTCTAGCAATATTCAATCAATATCACCACGGGGGACACCCGAAACTGGCTTCACACATTGTACCCATGTGAGGAATCAAACCCGGATCTTCGGCGTGACGGGCGAACGCTTTAACCACTAGGCTATCCCACCGCCCTTCTGTATTTGGATTTTGTCTAGGGTACGTTTCTGTACACCTGGGGTATTCATCTGTAGTACCCATGCCGACAACGACCACTTCAGCCTTAGTGTGGCCCTGTAGACACACAGACGTCAGACAAAACCCAAGGACATTTATTAACTCACAACCATAAAGTCCCGACATAGATCGGAGGGGGTTAGACCGAGACACCAGTAGGCTATCAATAATCAGGAAAGTAGTCCGTCATAATGTGACCTGAGGTCATCCCCATGTAGTAGTTTGGTTGGGTTTGGTGATGGGTTTTTTTAGGGGTGGGTGGGGGGTGTCACCCATTTTGTTCTGGGGAGATGGGGGTCAGCAATTTGTACACATGTACTGGGGGATGGGGGGTTTGAGCAATTTCGGACATATAGGCGGTTCCACTTTGATGAAACCTGTGAACACGGATAAGGTGCTGCCATAAAACAGAATCGTGGTGGACCGGGAAGAACCCACATTCAAAGTTGTGTCCAAGGGACGCAACTCTGCACAGCGATTGGGGCTTCTGAAGACTGAGGCACCCTGAGTGAATGAGTGAGTGAGTGAGTTTTACGCAGCTTTATGCAATATTCCAGCTGTATCACGGCGGGGGACACCAAAATGAGATACACACAATGTAACCATGTGGGGATCGAAACCGGGTCTTCGACTTGACGAGCAAACGCTTTAACCACAGGACTACCCCACCGTCCGGAGGCACCCTTGAACACTGCAAGCAGGGGAAATAATCAATTATATATCAGTCACAGTCCAATATCTAGCTGAAATGCTTTCACACAATGTATCCATATGGGAATTCGAACCCAGGTCTTCAGCGTGACGAGCGGATGCTTTAACCACTAGGCTAGCCCACCGCCCCTGTTTGGAACTAGAACTTCGGTATATAGGTACATATAGGTGCATCCGTTAATACTGATACTTCTTTTCACTTGAACAATTCTATTCAGTTTTATATCTATTTGTATTGGGGGCGTCGTGGGCGAGCTGTCTAAGGCGCCAGGCTTGTGATCCAGCGAGCTTGAGGTGCCGGGGTCGACCCCGCCTGTGACCGGGTGTAAAGACGTTGGAGTCAACTTTGCGTGCAGACTCTTTCAGTGTTGACACAACCCCCTAGTGTACAGTACTCAACCCTGTGCACTTAAAAGAACCCACGAATCCGTTGGTATATGACCAGATTGTGGCCACATGAATACGTGCAAACACCTAGTTGCGGGTACAGCGACGTGCAGCAAAACCTGGACAAAGTGCTGTGACTATGTGTCCCAGTCCACCCAGCTGTGAATGGGTACCTCGTAAGGATGGGTAAAGCCACATTAACTCGATGCGCCTAGTGGCTGCAAGAGTTGTATGATCCCCAGGGAGTTCAGATTGATAATACAATGTGCCATTTGAGATTGACATACAGTGATCGAGGGAAAAACAAAGCGCCTTTGAGCAGGTGATCTGATATTGGCGCTATACAAATATCTATAATAATAAATAAAAAAAAATAGTATCCGGTTGTCGTATTTATTAATCATGGTGATTCTCGGATCATCATATGTCCTCAATAATATATAACATAAGTGGTGGTCACAAATATTGACGTGGACAAGCAGTGTCAGCGGATCTCCACTGGAACGAGCAGTGAGTGAGTGAGTTTAGTTTTACGCCGCTTTTAGCAATATTCCAGCAATAGGAACGAGCACGGACGGACCAGTGATACCAGTGCAGATCTGGGTAGAATTATTCTACAGCGGCCCATGCTTGTCGTAAGAGGCGACTAACGGGTGGTCAGGCTAGCTGACTTGTTTGACACATGTCATCGTATCCCAGTTGTGTAGATCGATGCTCATGCTATTGATCACCTGGTTGTCTGGTCAAGACTCGGTTATTTACAGACCGCCGCCATATTGCTGGAATATTGCTGAGTGCGGCGTTAAACAACAAACCAACCAACGTAGTTCTCTGTGTAAAGTTGCGCCCCTTGGATGTATGGACGACGAAGCGTGTATTGACAATACAAGACCCAACACATGTGTTCAAACACGTCTTGTCTCTCTAATGGAAGGTAATGAATTAATTGTAGGGCATGGAGGGAGACATCCAAATCTATGAGAAGCTCGAGGGGAGCTCGAGGTTTGCATTTTCACTGCATCAAAGGAAACCCCAGATGACTATCCCGGAGTAGGCTGGGAATGACATACCGAGTGTGATAAAGAATCTCCAAGTAACAGTATCTCATAGGTTGAGTTGTTTGTGTAAGTTGTTTGTGAAAGTTAGACTGTCCCGTGACGAACAAGTCACGTGTTAAGGCACAATTATCAGTTTAGTTTTCCCATAATCCATATACACATACCTGTCGATACTTGTGTCTCCTTAACATGGAGCTTAGAGTTCATGAGCTGATAAACAAAGTGCACCCGACACACATCCCAGCGAAGCCAAAGTGTGTCTGTAATCGATGACGAAGGATTTTATGTCCGCCTCGTTATTGTCGCCGTCATATCCGTATTCCATTGTCCGACAGGAGTGTCCATGACTACATTTTGTCCAGAATAAGAGTTGTTCCCAGATACACTCTGTACCCGTAAAGATCCGGGTCAGAATTGATCTTCAGTAACCTATGCTTGTCGTAAGAGGCAACTAACGGGATCGGGTGGTCAGGTTCTCTGACTTGGTTGACACATATCATCGTATCCCAATTGCGTAGATCGATGTTCATGCTGTTGATCAGTGGACTGTTTGGTCCAGACTCGATTATTTACAAACCGCCGCCATATAGCTGGAATATTACTGAGTGCGGCGTAAAACTAAACTCACTCACTAATCTCTGCTGATCTGCACAGCTGAGACGATACACTGAGCCAAACGTGGGCCAAGAACCATAACTCTTCGTAGCCTCTGCGACGCGTGGTGTGTATTCGGCTGAACGTAAGGAATTGATTTTCGGGCAATAACCCATCACTTATTCCCTCGTGTTTGTCTTATTTATTTACAATAGAATGATGTTTTCATATTTCATAGCATACTCTATTATCCATAAAATGTCATGCTCCGTACAAGGTTGACATTGTATAAAAGTGACGGGTTAAATGTGTGGCCAGTGCGTGTTTTCAATAAAATATTAGAATAGGTGCTACTAACTTTGAGAACAATGTACTCATTCTTTTATACAGCTCTATAGTCCGATTGGCTCAAAAGCGGACCGATGAATTGCAATCTAACTCGAAAACTATAATAATAAACATATAATACTCAATGAAACGCTGATCATAGTCAAACCATCAGACCAACTCTGTGATTTGTTTGCAGAATTTATGTCCTAAAAATAAAAAAAGTTGTTTAACAAACTATCATTAAAATATTGACACAGTTCTCTATTTGTTACGAGGGAGGAGTGCAAAGAAAGGGACAGCCAGGTGTGCGAGAAAGGATGGAGACGGCACAGCACAGGTTAATGAATCAATAGCTTTGTCGGTACGTGCTTCTCTAACATCTGGCTGTCCCTTTCTCTGAGTTTCATTGAGTATGATATGTTTATTAGTTTTCGAGTTAGATTGCAATTCATCGGTCCGCTTTTGAGCCAAACGGACTGTATCATGGACCAACACTACAAGCAAGTCTGAAAGTAATTCCATGAAAATGACTTTGATACTGGTTGTTTGACTAACCGTACATGAGATCACAAGACCGACCAATCGAGTCTAGGGGTGGTGGGGTAGCCTAGTGGTTAAAGCGTTCGCTCGTCACGTCGAGGACCCGGGTTCGATTCCCCACATGGCCCAATGTGTGAAGCCCATTTCTGGTGTCGCCGGCCGTCATAAAGCGACGTAAAACTAAACTCACTTACTCTAATCCGGAAACCGGAAGCCGTGTTGTAAAGCCTTGCAAATGAGGAGCGATTGGCTACCTTGTTACTGTTAGAGCTATAAACGTACAACAATGTACCCATGTCATCATTTGAACATTGCAAACAATGTGGGTCACAGTGACCCAATAGCTGCATGCACTCTCTACAACCATATCATAATTCATATTCGTTATTGATTTATAACCTGAAGGCCATTGGTTGATCTGTGACGGCCATTTTGAAAACGTTTCAGCATTCATATGTGATGTTGATTCCACGTTGACATCTCAACTTTAACATCAATACAGCCAAAGTTGTCATTCTTTCAGGAGGTGAGGTGAGATGAAATTGGGTTTTACGTCGTGCTTGAGAATATTTCGCTCATATGACGACGTGCATGAGTGTGTATGTGTATGTGAGGCTGCTTGTACTAGCCCAGACTTAAGCTGGTTTTATAGTGCTAGCCCACTGAGATACCATGCCGCAGTGAAGCATGAATACCCCACTCAGACACATTATACTGACTCTGAGCCGACCAGTCCTTGTTGTACCCATTAATGCCGAGCGCCAGGCAGGGACCAACAAGTACCATATTTTAACGTATTTTTGGTATGACGCGGTCGGGGATCGAACCTGAGACCTTCCGCACTCCGGGCGGACGCTCTAACCACTACAGCACGGAGGTGGTCTCTTTCAGGATATTGACTTAACGCTGATTCAACATTGATTCAATATATTGAACATTGTTATAATATCATTGTGACTGCTCCTCGCATGAAGAAGTGCAGCTATTGACAATTTCAACTACAAGCATTTCATATCAGCAAGAGATGGTAGGGAATTTGAAACCACATTGACCAGTTTCACTAATTCACGTGACTATGACCCTTTTATAACTGAATCTATGTGTATCCCCACGAGACGTAAATACCCGAATGGGTTCGTTTCGAATTGATCAGCAGCAGCCCATATTTGTCATAAGAGGCGACTAAGGGCATCGGGTGGTCAGGTTCGCTGACTTGGTTGACACATATCATGTCATCGTATCCCAATATAGCTAAAATATTCCTGATTGTGGCGTTAAACAACAAGCAAACGAAACAACAAACATTAGCTCCAACAACCGGTTTCTCAAAGTTGGCCGTCGTGTTGTACTTAAACAACTCATCTTCACGACCGAGGTATACCCCGTAGACAACGGAATTAGCCGAGTACACCCGAATAATAATAGAACAGAAATTACCCATTCGTGACCCACTCGTGCTATTCCGGGTCAAGCCGAATAACTTCTTTGAGGTTACGTAAAAGGGCAAGTAGTGACGAATTCAGAAATGTTGGCACATACCACCATACCTGCTTGTGCAGTACATAAGAAACGCGGCGATTAGTGTTACTTTTGACCCATCGAGGCACGTGGAAATGCCACTGCACGAACAGCATAGCCTGATCTAGAACAAATCCACGGGCTCCCAGCGGTCGAAGAATCGGCACACGAAGAAAGCACGTGCTAACGATGACCAACACATGTAAGGGGACTCGTTCCTGGAATTCCAGACAGGTGGGCGAGACGAGTTGGCTATAAGGAATTCTTTCTGCATTAATTTTCGTCTCTCATGCTGTTTACATTAAATCAGTATAAAATTCCAATAAAACTGGGGCGGTGGGGTAGCCTAGTGGTTAAAGCGTTCGCTCGTCACGTTGAAGACCCGGGCTCGATTCCCCACATGGGTACAGTGTGTGAAGCCCCTTTCTGGTGTCTCCCGACGTGATATTGCTGGAATGTTGCTAAAAGCGGCGTAAACCTATACTCAGTGAATCCATTAAAACAAAGCACCATGTGTGCATGTGAACTTGGCATTTGGTTTCTTGAGAAATTTATCATTTCAGCCTTATCATGGCGGAAGATGCCGTTTTCCTGCTTCGCACATCATCCATCTCGGGAGTCGAACCCAGATCTGAGACGTCACGAACAAAAGCTTTACCCTGTTGGCGACCAGACTGACAAAACATTTCAGTCAAAAAATTTTTTTTTTTAATTACTCTCGACAATATGAATCACAAAAAACTATATTTGGGTTGTACATGTTTATTACACGACAAACACGGTACAATAACACAGAATAGTCATACAAATAGGATTTGATCTCGCCCTCCTAAAATGGTACGGAAATTCACATAATATTTCTATGCATCTCTCTCCAACGTACAGTCTGTGCGATATACGTCACAGACACATTCAGAGTCACGCCGGGAAGTATTCAGACGCATTTGTCATGGTCATTAAAAACATTCAATACGGTAAACCTATTCTCAGTGCAGCGCCATTATTGCTATACTTTGGGTGATGTTAATTCTTAATGTATTTGACAGTCAGTAGTAAACAATGGTAGTTAGCGATGCTTTAGTTCAAATGATGTATCCCAACACTTGAACTCCAGCCTACACAATGGAGAAAATTTGGAATTTGAATATGTACACGAGATCACATTTTTGATCAATTTCTGTGATACACGCCAGCGTGTTATATGTGGTGACTCGGGGCAAACAAGTTGGGTTGGTACGATCTGTGAGCAGTTTCTTCTCACACGCACTGAAGGTAACACTACTGGTACGTTCACTCTGTTAAAAAACTTGTTACTTCATCAGATACCACCCATCCCTTGTCAACCAACTGGAATACATAGCGTTGTGTTGAATTTTTCACTGTGTCAAACACCCACGAATGCCTGATTGGAAACGGTACCATTTTACCGATTGTGTACTTCTCGTAATACCAACAAATCCCATCTCATCTCTGGACACTCACGTTTCTGGGATTTCCATTCCAGTGTCAACATTTCTTGGTCAATCACCATGGAAACGGTGCCCTTATGTTGGTAACCTGTCGAGCACAAACAGTATCTCGATGGAGGACGGATCCACACTGACATGTATAAGGACATGGCATATTTTTCTATAAAGGAATAGACAGTCGACGTTGAAGTGCAGCTTGTTCTTCGTGGTCCCTGGATGTGATGAAGTCGTTGTGCGTTCAATTCTTTTGTTGTAGCGGATCACCACGTCGCTCACTGTATGGAGGTGGCAATTCTCAGGAGCCACGTGGAAGCAGCGGAGAGTTTGGCCTTGGATTCACACACCGCCACAATGATAATACCCTTTGTCTTGCTGGCAATCAGGTACCGTCCGCCATTGAAGGCGATAACCTGTTCCGGACATGCGCTCTTCAAGCAATAGGTACATCCGCTGGCACGCAGGGTTTCCGGCGGCTGGTCGCATTGAAAACATTGATTTATTGCCTGGAACGAGAACATGATTCTTTTAAGTGAGTTGAATTAAATTAACGTCCAATCGGCGTTATTTCATCCATTCAGCATCGATTCTCTTTAAAAACTCTGATTCTCGACCATGATGTGTGATTGTTGCTTAACGCCGCACTCAGCAATGTTCCAGCTATATGCAGGCGGCGGTCTGTAAATAATCGAGTCTGGACCAGACAATCCAGTGACTGGCATCATGAGCACTGATCAACGTAACTGAAACAAGATGACACGTGTCAACCAAGTCAGCGAGCCTGACCACCCGATCCCGTTTGTCGCCTCTTACAAGTAGGGGTTGCTGAAGACCAATTCCTACCCATATGTGCGCGGGTCAACCTGATGTGAACTGATTCACTGAACCAAAGACGTTCAAAAGACACGTTATGAATCAAAACTTCTTAACCCATGTTAAATTATCATACAAAGTACATAATGACAACACATTAAGATCATACGTGCTTTCTTTGCAAATGACATGACCCTGCTACAAGCACATATTGTAATTCAGACTAAAAATGAATTTAGGCTGTGGTGTCACAGTGGAGAGGCACAACCATTTTCCTTTGTTTGAATGTTTAATCTACATGATGATGATCTGACTTTAAGTTATCCTCTGTGTCTTGAAGAGGAGAAATGTGTTGCTTTTTTGTGTCAGGGTGTAATCGTATGGGTCGCAGTTTGGCAACATAAGTTTATCAACTTCACATTCGACCCCACCAACTGTAATGCATTCACCTTCAACAGCAAGCAAAATGTAAGCGACATCAGTAATTATCCGTACATAACCGCTGTGAAAGTGATATCGAAAAGCCAAAGTACTACATCAGCTGCACAAAAAATATATTTGCCAGTTCTCCCCAACACTACTGATGGAGAACGCATATCTTCGGTCCACATCACCAACACACACCACACACAGTTCTAAACACAGACATGCCGCCCGAATTCCATATGAAGTGGCACGCTCTAACTGCGATAGTCTGTTTGCAGTGCTATCTATACTTAGCGCAGTCATCATTCACAGCTCCACACTGTGCTTGGTGCCCTACAACCATGCATGGAGTTGACCGACTGAACGTAATGTGGATAACTCGTGATTATTGTGGTCTGGTTGTCAGTGGGAATTTCTATTAAACCTAATTTAATATGTAATTACTTCAGTGACGGGTGTTGAGTGCTGTTTCTTCTTTCAGCAATCTAGATCAAGTCCGATAAAACAAACGACGTAAATTCATCTTTGAAACAGCAGAGACCATATGTGGTCTCTGGAAATAATACCTCTTTGGTTAGGGTTTTCTCAATGGTAAGTCATTCGTCAACGTCTTCTCAATAGTAAGTCATTCGTTAACGTTTTCTCAATGGTAAGTCTTTCGTAAACAGTTCCCCAATTCCTGAACAAGAATGTCATTTCCAAAAAACATACACGAAAACTTATATTTTCACCATATTTGGGGTTAAATGGGGAAATGTTTCTTGCTCGTTGACTGTGAAGGACTTTCATGAAGTGGCTTCCGACATATCCCTTCATACCCCGACGTAAACAGTAACATATCCCTTCATAACTACATGTATGCAACACAGAAAACGAGAGCTAGTTCGCAATGCTATGCATAATATGTATAAGTTCAACGTCAGTATACCGCGTAGTTCTTGGCAAGAATCTAGGTTAGTGTGTGTCAGGTCGACTTTATCTGTGTGAGCACACGGTGCATAAAGACAACGAATGTGTTCACTGAGAAACATGAACTAATTTCGAAACAAAATCCGACCCGTATTTAACTTGAGGTTCGAATACTTTCTGTTCTCAATTCTTGAGAAATTAATATTACCCAGAAGCGTTGTCATCTAACGAAGCATTTTAGATTTTTTTGCTTCGATCTCAAATGATTGACAATGTGTATTTGGATAACGGTGAGAAAAGGAAATGTCAAGCTCTCAGAATGAAGATAAACTTTCTATGAGTGAGTGAGGGGTAAATTGCGCCTATAAACATGCTTACCATTTGGGGGAATCGAAAGAGGTTCATCATCGTGAGGAGGTGCTTGGACCATTACACTACACCAAACGCGCCGTACGATTGTTTTTTTAAGCGATACTTTCGTCACGCGTGTATCCTGTTTTGGCTATCGAGTTAGCTTCGTTTTTATACGTCACACGATAGCAGGCGTATATTTCAGACCACCGCACCTGAAGCGTATGTCCTTGAAGGTGTAATCTGTCAACGGATCTCGCTATCTGAGGTCATTTAGGTATATGCTGACTATCTGCACCCTATTTCGGAGAACTTAACCTATATTCTATAGTATAGCTCGACGTCAACACCTGGTCGTTTATTCAGTAAATAATTCCTTTAACGAACGAAAAGAAGTGAATGAACGTTATTTTATACTGCAGTCAGTAATACCGTTGCTTTTACACGGCCTACGGGGGCGGTAGGGTAGCCTAGTGGTTGAAGCGTTCGCTCGTCACCCCCAAAACCCGGGTTCGATTCCCAACATGTACAGTGTGTGAAGCCCATTTCTGGTGTCCCCCGCCGTGATATTGCTGGAATATTGCTAGAATTGACTTAACACTAAACTCACTCATTCACGGCCTACGGTATGTGGACGTCAGAACCGTATAAATCAGTGGTTGATAGCACGAACATCGCTTAACGCTGATCGGAAACCAGCGCGAACACTATGGATATAATCTGCATCGGTCTCAAATAGGTGACATATTGTGTAAGCACACTGACCAGCAATATTCCACGATGTCATCGTGAAAAGTGAGAAGGCAAAACACGTCCCTCTGTACTATTACGCTGCGATTCGACCTGGTCAAGGGCAGATGATAAAACTGACTAGTGACAACCGCCCGCCGCGCCTGTGACACGCGAAGTGCGAAGATCGCGAGAATTACGTAGCAGAAATGCAAGATCTCCACGCAATGTCCGACGTTCTTGCCAAGCACGGGGATTCACGCGTGTCGTTGACTTTGGTCTTCATCTGAATGATCGTTATCTCCACGTGCTGTCGCGACTCTGAAAGTCAGTTGTACGTTTCTGGAATGTTGAATGATACCGTGATAAGTTCTGTTTGTATGTCATGAACTAGCCCAACAGAAAGGACAGTCGCAGCTGAATGTATGAGTGAGTGAGTGGAGTTTAACGCCGCTTTCAGCAATATTCCAGCAATATCACGGCGGGGGGACACCGGAAATGGGCTTCACACATTGCACCCATGAGGGGAACCGAACCCTGGTCTTCGGCGAGACGAGCGAACGCTTTAACCACTAGGCTACCCCACCGCCCCCTTAGACGTTTACAAATTTGCTGACGAGTATGGTGCAGACAAACCTTGAAACATTCAGAGCAAAACGGGATTCGAACCTGCAGTCATAGGTTTTCAGTGTGGCGAGCGAACGCTTTAACCACTAGGCTACCTCACCACCCGTGGTCTGTCTTTTTACAATGGGGGTGCGTTAACGTTGCGTGCTCTTCTGTGTTATTCAAAGACAATATGCTGATCACGGGATTGTCTGGTCCAGACTCGATTATTTACAGACCGCCGCCATACAGCTGGAATAGGCCCCTATTGCTGAGTGTGGCGTAAAAAGTAAACTCACTCACTCACTCAAAGGCAATAATTACCATCACTTCTTCATCTGTAAGATTGAATCCTTTGCTGTGTGTGGACTTGGACCCTACGTCCGGAATGATAGCCGCTCTTTTCAGCTCCATGATTGCTCCTCCTTGTGTTATTAACTTGATCCATTTCTTCCAAGATGGCGATCGGTTAGCGGAAGGATTGACACCAAAACCGAGCATACTTCAAAACACAATTTCTGTCTGAAACGAAACGAAATATTTTCAGACAAGCGAGTGAGTGGGTGAGGTTAGTTTTACGCCGCACTCAGCAATATTCCAGCTATATGGCGGGTTGTAAATAATCGAGTCTGGACCAGACAATCCAGTGATCAACATCATCAGCATCGACGCAATTTGGGAACCGATGACATGTGTCAACCAAGTCAGCGAGCCTGATCACCCGATCCCGTTAGTCGCCTCTTACGACAACCATGAGTTACTGCTGATCAATTCTATCCAAGGATCTTCATGGGTCCTCATATTCAGAGAAGTAATTTTTATGCATTTATTATCCGACTTGCGTGTTTTGTAAGAGAGAGGGATCTGTTTTAGTCACTGATCCACAACACACCTTCTATTTCATTGAAAGGGGAACCGAACACAACTTCATTCTCTATTTTTCCAGAATAACGAACATCTCAAGCGAAGATGCCATTTCTGTTCCCAGGCGCGTAGCAAGCCAATGTTTTCGTGAAAGCCCGATAGGTTGCAAATATTTACCTTTAGATACTATTGAGGGCTTGTCCAACCTTTTTAGCAACAATCATGTGCAAGACCGGGCTTTTTTTTATAATGGTAGCTACGCCCCTGGTCCCGGAGGACGAACCCTAGTCACCGCAAATATCTAACGGGGTGAGTGAGTTTAGTTTTACGCCGCACTCAGCAATATTCCAACTATATGGTGGCGGTCTGTGAATAATCGAATCCGGACCAGACAATCCAGTGATCAACAGCATTAACATCGATCTACGCAATTGGGAACTAAGTCAGTGAGCCTGACCACCCTATATATCAAATGGTCAATATATAACAGCGATGACCTTCAACCAGCAAACCCATAACACCTCAGTGTATGTGAGAGTAAGTAATACTGCCTTGTTTGTAAATTTATAACCAAACTGTTTACGACAATGATGAGGTGTCAGATGACTACCGACGTTCATTCTAACTGTAAATTCCATCAAACGAATCATCATATATTTTGAAACCTTTTGTCGACAAGCATGTTGTGATGTATTTGAATAAGCATAGTATATTAACGTAAACATTTAATTTAGATACATACGTATGTGTAACATGATTGTAATTTAATTAATCTTCCTTAACAACCCAAGAGAAATATTTAACCATCTATTCAAAATAAGGAAGAAAAGGACATTACACAGATCCTGCGAATCGAAGTGATATTGGCTGGCAAAACCTACCTGCGTTAAATTCAACTATCCAATGACACGTCCGAGCTGTTTAACATGCAAACTCTTACTCATACATGCACATGCCCTTCGAACGGGTTCCGCCTTTTGCGAGGGAGCAGTCATTTCATTTTCATAATCGTGAGTGGTTTACTAAATTTTATTAACATATTCCATTACTGCAGGAAACAACGCTGGGCCTTTTTGCGTGCGGAGTGTACAGATCAATAAATGTCGAAAGTCTAGTTGTGAATAATTCTCAACAGAAATATCTAAATTGCAACTATACAATGAAACATGGACTTGATTTTAAGAAAGAATATAGTTCGTTACATATGATTATATTCATAAAATATAAATGACACCTATATATTTTGGAAACAGGTCTCAATAACTGAGCTCCTGAATTATGAAAATGCTAATTTCGAACCAAAATCCTGTCCCAACCACATGAAATGGTTGCCCCCTTTTACCTGCGAACGTCCGGGTACTGTGACTGTGTACGTGACATACTGAACGAACTGCCTCAGTGATAATCCGGGAGGTATATAACTCACACGACATAGGTCATCATGACCCACGCGGTATTCACAACGAGGCTAAATCAATAGATACAAACAGGCACTCTGATTGGAACACCTGAATGATAAACAATTGAACTGGTTATTTTTAGAAAGTGATAACCCGTGACCATTTGCAGTTTTCATGGATTTTACGTCCTACTATGTATCTGCATTAATCATTGCCGTTTCACTCCGGTTGGGCTGTAGAACGCCCGCTGTTCTGTTCGTGAGTATAACAGTACTGGCTATTGTTAACAACACACTCATAACATCCGTGTTTCTGGACCGAGGTAGTAATAAATCTGACCTTACGCACGTCCCCACTAAGGGTGTTAACACTATTTGGGATATTTACAAAACTTGGCTGACAGCACGTTTATAAACAGGACTGATAAAATAACACGTGTTTACTGTCATGTACTTCTTACTTAACACCGTGGACGCTATGTTTACGTTTATAGTAACATGTTGAAGTCACAATAGACATACCTTACGGAACCGTTCACAATTTATGGGTGGGGATGGGGGTGGGGGTGATGATGATTTTGAGGAGGTCAGCAATTTTGTACATAAAAATATTAAAAAATTATACTTAGAAATTTTGGGAAGGGTAGGGGGTCAGGGTAGGGGTCATTGATTTTGTACATGACATGCTGAAGTCACAATAAATATACCTTAAGGGGAACGTTCACAATTTATGGCTGGGGTGGGTGGGGTGGGTGGGGTGGGGTGTGAGGTTTACTTACTTTGTACATACATTTTAGGGGGGTCATTCACATTGTACATGCTTCTCCAAGCAAAACTAAACTCACTCACTTACTAACTCACTCACTCAGTGATACATATTTACAGGAAAGTCTAACGTATGATATAACTGGTTTTAATGAGGCTTGGTCGTAAGGCGGTAAAGTGAATCACAACTACGACTATGTAATGAATCAGTGAGTGAATCAATTACTGAATCCAATACCCTGTAGCGACGTGACACAACGACCGTAGTCGCTCCGACGGCGACCTTTGAATACCGCGTCCCTAAAGCACGAGGAAGTGTTTGCAAACATGAATCGTGTTTCTGTCATTGAAAGCACCTAATTAAACATTCTTTTCAGATGTGTTCCTTGAAGCACTCAATGAACTTTATTAATGCCACTTACAGCGTGTCAACTTGATACGGATCTTATACGTTTAGTGAGTGAGTGAGTTTAGGTTTACACCGCTTTTAGCAATATTCCAGCAATATCACGGCGGGGGACACCAGAAATGGGCTTCACACTTGGCACCCATGAGGGGAACCGAACCCTGGTCTTCGGCGAGACGAGCGGGCGCTTTAACCACTAGGCTACCCCACCGCCCCCTTAGACGTTTACAACTTTGCTGACGAGTATGGTGCAGACAAACCTTGAAGCAATCAGAGCAAAACGGGATTCGAACCTGCAGTCATAGGTTACTGGGCTTCCCAAGGAACACTACAGTGCCCTCGTCGTCAAGGTTACAGTGTTGTATAACAACACGACTTTTTGATAATGTTTAACTGTAAGTCCCTCCGAAGTAAAAGCAAAACCAATATGCTATTAATGATAAACAGTAATAAAGCTTTTGATCACCTCATAGCAACTTGAGACAAACAAATCCTGAGATGATAGAGCCATCAGTAGACAACCTCGTTGTGTAGTGTACATGTACAGTCATATACGTGCATCCAGCTACATGAAGTCGATTTGTTGTCAGTTGTGCAAAACACACGCGAAACATTCTGCCCACAAAGATAATTACTGAGTGTTTAATCTATGCAGTAACAAACAAACCCTATGATTATATCTATATGATATACCACTGCATGTTCGTGATGGATTGATTCAGAATACACATGTTGTAATTGTAAACGAAAGAACATCTATTGTACAAAGGATATACCTCACTGGGCAATCTAGTCTGTCTCGCAGAGACCGAACTACATTATTTTTCCTTCTACTCAACCCTTTCTGTAATATCAAAGCTCTAGATGAAGCAAGCCTTGCTTTCTTTGGGTTCAATGTCTCTGAGCTTCCTGCTCCCCCTTTTCAATTGAAATGGGGTTGTTTGATTGCATCAGAAATATATATAAAGATTTAAAGACTAAGTGTTAGTCTACGAGAAACCCGATGCTTGACTGACACCTCGATTCGACATTGCTTGTACGTTGTGATACCACTGATATTAAGTAATAAGCGAAAGTTCCTAATCAACATAAATTCGGCATTTTACAGTCATGCAGAGTAAGTAACTTCTACACATGAAATGAAATGAAAGCCGCACACACACATATACATAATATATAAAATTTACACAGTGTTGTACACTTGTACGTTACGCCGTAATTTTAATTAAACCATATCTGTTTCAAAGACATTAGTGCACATCGAAAAAACAACGCGATTCAGACCAAATTTCCAAAGTTCCATTAACCTCCACTGTACAGTGTTTCAGTTTCGTAAAGTGCCCGTAATGTGAGAGTGACTCCCAAAAGGATGGGGGGTCGCAAACCTTCACCACTGTGGGAAGAACAGGAGAGCTGCTTCCTCATCCAAATTCTGGATTCAAACCCACAACCTGTGGACAGCGACAACTAGCCCATCTCACTCGCATGACCGATGAGGCGATGGGTCAGTTTTTGGGTCAATGGCGCGTCACGATCAAAACACGATTTTGATTCTCCAGATACGGACACAATTGATAGCCTTTTCTGGTTCTGTCACGCCTTGACAAGTATTGAATATTTCTGACTAAAAAATTTGACCGATAACGTCTGTGCCCTACATGCAGTGGGGACATGTTGCGTAATAATAACGTGATTGACAGCTGATAACATACCTGTCATGTGCCACACAACCTTCATGAAGCTATGTCCTTCACGCAGATTTGTTGATAACGTCTGAGTCATAGTACAAGGTACAAGTAACAAACGGCTTCGTTCACAACGTCACGCCAAGCGTTGAGTGAGTTTAGTTTTACTCCGCTTTTAGCAATATTCCAGCAGTATCACGGCGGGGACACCAGAAACGGGCTTCACCCAACCGTGGGACACCTCCAGGATCAAAATAGGTTTTGGGAATCGAACTCGGCCGATAGTGCTGACAAACTTAGAACATAATCAGGCTTAACTGGGATTCAAACCTGGAAGCGAATTGCGACGCGTTAAACCTGTGAGCCACCTGTATCCACCATAAGTAATAATTCAACACCACGGCAATATCGCTTTACTGCACACAACGGAATTTAGTAACCATGACATTTAGTTGTTTTACTGCCGATGAGGAAACAGCAGTTATTAATTCAATGTTTCTCTATCGAGTCAGATCATTATTCACCACACGTAACCTACTCACGCTAGTCGGTGCGATTACTTTTCAAAGTCCCATTGTTAGCCGGCAATGTATAGCTGTAGAAAGAAACCCAGTCCTTGGAACTGAGTTGGTAAGTTGCCAAGTATTTAATGCATGGTACGAGAATATTCTGTCCTGCAGCGAACCGTTTCAAAAACTGATATCGAAACATCCATTCTATCCGTCCCTATGTGACGACTGTTTTCGAGGAGAAGGGCAGTTTGCTACACGTTCCTGGTGTCGTATTTATGAAAATAATTAAACAAACGTGCATTATATTTTGAATGAAAAAGATATTCAACAAAATTAAATATCATAGCAATATTGGTGATTGTATGTAAAGGTACCGAGGAAGAGAACTATTTTATAAACATTTTGTTTAAAAAACAAAATGTAGCAAATAGAGCAACTTCACGTTTTACATGCGTAAAGTAAAGTTCTCACTATAAAGTTGTCATGAACTGGGGAGCATGAGACTGACATATATTGATATACATTCACATACATATTATATACATACATTCTGCCAGTAACGTGAAGCAACTGTTATCCCTGTAGAACAACATGTGGCTTCACATAAACGTTAAACTGATACGAATTAGGACAAGATAATGTGCAGATTAAAATTTTAAAAGCCGTTAAGCATATGGAGGGCACATGCAACATGCATGGGAATGAGAGAAACGAGGAAATATTTTAACAAAAATTATTATTTATTTATTATTACAACAATATACGTTTATTATGTCATATGTATACGTCATACCTTTACATTCAAAATGACTTACAGTGTTCTCCAGTATGTATTATATATAAAATGTCTTTACCTGTTTATTTTCCTTGTATGTTTGCTTGCAAAGTTATATGGAGTACCCTTTCCACTGGTTGTTTCCTGATAGCGCTCAACGATAGAAGCTTTCTGACTCTCAACACTCCGTATTTATAGTGAGGAGCTGGTTCAAGTAGGTCACGGCTATTTTGGGTTGACACACAAGGCTTCTGGGTAAAAAGCTCCTCGCGTGACGTCATAACCAACCGCAAATGTTTGCAAGTTGGCTAAAACACGATTACAAGGACAATTGTTAGAGTTAATGAATACCGAAACCTTTATATGACCCTGGATTTACCTTAATGAGAACATTTAGTGGTGCCCGCGGAAGGAGACATTCAAGGTTAGTTAGGGGTGATATAAGCGTATGGTCTTTGGGCCGAGTGTTTATCATGGTTTTTTTATGACACATAAAGGTATGTGTCAGCTGTGTAACCTATTTAGATAAGCAAAGGTTGTTTTGCTATATATGATTACAATGACGAAATGTTTGTGTACAGCCAATACTGAAAAGTATTTATATGTGTGTCCTTATCTAAGGTCATACGAGAGCCTGAGAAATGTACGTGAGGTACACGCTTGCAGTCGGCTTGTATAAGCTAGGTGCATTATTTTGATGCTGCCAGGCTGCATTGGAACCAAAACCTCAACCAAGTAGCACATTTCCATCGGCATCAAAATTACTGGATACGAGTTCAGGGTTAGAACTGATCTTCAGCAACCCATGCTTGTCGTAAGAGGCGACTAACGGGATCGGGTGGTCAGGTTCGCTGACTTGGTTGACACATGTCATCAAGTCGTAATTGCGTAAAGTGAATGCTGAATGCAGCGATAAATAACAAATTCATAAAGTGACTAGTAGCTATTTTCTGTTGATGTAAATGGATAAAACTGACTAAAATGCTGTGTCCCCAACAGAAAACGACAACCACAACAGCCATCGATGCGCGCCTAGTGCCGTTGTTACGTTATAGCTATGATGGATCTGGTTTATGGAATACTACTGGTGGACAACTCTCCGAGACGGTCAATATTACGCTTGTTTTACCAAATAAGTGGAAAACGCTGTGGAAAACTCATTATTAGTGTGTTGTTGTTTCACCATGACAATGGCCACAAAGACATGGGTTTTTGAGTTAGTGAGTACGGTTTTATGTCGCTTTTAGCAATGCTGCAGCAACAATACGACAATACAACTGGGGCTACCAGTAATGGAGTCCACTCCTCGTTCCCAAGTAAGAAATCGAACCCGGGCTTTCGACGTGACGAGGGAACGCTTTCACCACTAGGCTACTCTACCGCCCCCTATGGCTTTGAACTCGTTAAACATTCTCAAAAGTCATCATACATGACACCGTCCAATTTCCACCTCTCCCCAATCTTGTGGAAATGTCTGCTCCCAGAGGGGATTATGTTGAAATATCAAGCCTCCTGTGTTGACAACTTGAAGACAGCACAAGTCCGTACACGTACACTGAGATTTTGCCTCATAAGAATAATTCGGCTTAAGTGTTGATCGCGGATCATAGGATCGTTATGAGAACAGGGATCAAACCGATTATATTCTTGTTTTGTTAGTATAAAACTGAAGGTAGGATGAAGCTTAATGAAAATATAGGTCCCCAGCAACTGAAACATGCTGTATGTCGAAATAGGCGACACAATGAAATCTGGGGCCAGCCTCGCTGATATTCTCTGGGTATATCCCACATGTGTGTATCACTGGACTATCTTGCCCAGACGCGAGCTATTATTTACCGACCTTGATACAGCTGAGATATCACATAGCGCTGTGGTGAACAATATTCAAATGTAATGGTCCCCTGCTTAATTACGTTTTGTAGCACGCGTGTTGCATTGTAGAGTGCACCTGCATACGGTTCTGGAGCTCACCTATAGTGAGTGAGTGAGTTTAGTTTTACGCCGCTTTTAGCACTATTCCAGCAATATCACGGCAAGGACACCAGAAATGGGCTTCACACGTTGCACCCATGTGGGGAATCGAACCCGGGTCTTCCGCGTGATGAACGAACGCTTTAACCACTAGGCTACCCCATCGCCCCATCAGCTATAGTTGTCCTGTCGCTGTCCCTTCTGTAAATGACTTGCAGCAAATTGTGAGTGGTAGCTGAAGGCTGTTCTACAACTGATTTGTAGCTTCGTGCAGTTGTAGATGACATGTAGCCGACATGTAGCTGAATTCAGCTCTGCAGCATACCTGTGTTGATGTTTAGATCATCTGTAGCTAACCTGTAGCTAAATGCAATCCCTGACGCACCTGTAGTTATGTTCTGTAGATGAGTGAATTTCTGTAACATGGTTGGTTGGTTTGTTGTTTAACGCCACAATCAGCTACACGGAGGCGGTCTGTAAATATTCGAGTCTGACCAAACTCTGCCTCATACCTGCAACCTCGTATACATGCCTCATATGCATTGTAAATACGTGCAGCACAGTGCCATTTGACAGTGAATATTGTTTAGTTGACATGAAGTGTCGAGAAGTGTACAGCTCATCTAATACTGTAGGTAGTCTTGTGAACCCCATGTCGTAATATGTTTGGCGAGGTCTGTAACCCTGCTTAAGTCTCAGATAAACTAAATCAAGAGCTACCTGACAACACAAACTAAGACAACAACCTCTTATGACCGTGTTATAATCAAACGCCTGCCTTACGTGTATATATTTTTTATGATGACCCCTATATTCAACCTCCTTGCATTTGTACAATGACGTCAAACATCTATAGCTGCTCAGCCGCAGGTTGATCCTGCCACAAGTGCCTGCAGTGTCCGATATAGCTCCCAAGTGGGGCTGGGTCAGAAGGTCTGAACATACCCAGCAGGGAGAAGCACCGGAAGCGAAATACCTTGGGGAAGAAATACTGAAGTATATGTTTGTGAAAACATTAATGGTACCTACTTCTATCCTTCTTGGATAGAGAGGGGCTTCAGTATTACATTCGCCATGTCTCCTTTACCGTCCCCTGGGAGATTCCGGATCGGAATGTGTCCCAAGGCGGATGTCGCAAGAGCCGGTTAGAATTGAGATCAAATGGCCATGTTTGGTCATATTTCACCGAGATGTTGCTAAAATGATTATCGATCTTTGGTGTCCAGGGCCCCGTTCCCCAAAGCAATCGTAACGCTACGACTGTCGTACGTAACTCTTTGTTAAAGTATGGGAGTTACGACTGTCGTAGCACTACGATAGCTTTGAGGAATGGGGCCCTGGTCTCGAGTACATAACCATAAGTGAGTGAATGAGTGAGTTTTCCGCCGCTTTTAGCATTATTCCACCAATATCGAGGCGTGGGGCACAAGAAATGGGCTTCACACATTGTACCCATGTGGAGAATCGAACTCGGGCCTTCGGCGTGACGAGCAAACGCTTAAACCACTAGGCTACCCCACCGCTCCCATATCCAAGAAGCCGCCTTGCCATGTTTGCACAGGATTGCCGTTGTGTCTAACTCTCAGTTGTGACTAAACGTCAGGCGCCGCAATTAGCTCTGCAGGGTTGCTTCCCCTGGACATGGACGTAACCCACGACCTTAGACATGAAGTCCGCTTCCACTCGATTATGTATCACAAACTCATTTATTCTCATGATAGCAATACCCATGCAATACGGCGAGCTTAAGCGAGTTCCGTATTGCAGTCCGATTTCTGTAGTGCACAGTTGCCGGGTCTACTTTTTCCGATGTACTCTTCTATTTCCGTAGATATTATGTAGGTCATGGCATGACTCTTCCCTTTTTAACAAGATCTTTATTCACAAAGGTTTTTTTTATAGCAATGCGAGTATCACTCGCGCGGGTCGCGGTAACCTCAGTGCGGACGTTTAAAACAGTGTGTGTCGTGAAGAGGGAATGTAATATATATATATATCGTCATACTAGTGCATTTGGACCTTATGTAATTGAACGAGATGATGTTATAGTAGGAAAGAAACAACGAGTTTCAAGGTCCAAATGCACTAGTAGTCGAACTCTTTGTTTCTCTCCTAGTAGTATACACAATGGCGCTACGGGACCAGGTCCTCCAAAGGGCTCAATTTAAAATAAATTGAGCCCTTGAGGAGTCCCTAATCCCGTAGCCCCATACTACTACTGAATTGCATGCAAAATTTGATGAAAATCGGTCGAATAGTTTCTGAAATATTTGACTTTTAAGTGAACATGGGGTCGGTCGGGAAAAAGGCCGAGCAGAACAACCCCTTTTTAATTTTTAACATCAGAACACAAATATTTCAAGAAACCACATTCAGTCAGCGTTCTAGTATGAGCGGTCATGTAGGAACGCCAGCATGACATACAAATCTCACTACGGTATCTAGAGACCAGTCCAGCGCTCATACATGAACGCTTGTGTGACATACATGAGGCTAACTATATCAGTCCATCGTTCATGTATGAACGCTTGATTAGTATACACATTAGCGGAACGGGATTAGAAACTTCCAAAGGCCTTGATTTTTCCCGACCGACCCCATGCTCACTTAAAAGTCAAATATTTCAGAAACTATTCGACCGATTTTCATCAAATTTTGCATGTAACTCAGTAGTAGTATACACAATGGGGTTACGGGATTAGGGACTCCTAAAGGGCTCAAGATTTTAAACATTGAGCACTTGGGGGGGGGGGGGGGGACCTGGTCCCGTAGCCCCATTGTGTATACTACTCTCCTACTATGATATCATTTCGTTCAATACAGGTCTAAATGCACTAGTATGACGGTCGACATATGTATTGAGGTTTGTGAATACCCTGTCCGTGGGTTTCATCAACGTTCTAAAGGCCTAAACCTGCATCAATCCAGGATGTCCTCCCACATCAAGCTTACACGATCGTTAATAACCGTCAGTATGTTGTTGGGGACATTTTTATAAGGGAACTTCCCACTGGCTTTAGTAATCTCTATACCGGAGATAATTAGTTCCTCTGTCTGATGTATTCTACCTAGTAAGTGTTTATATTAGGTTATACTAGGCCCTATATCTGATGTACTGTCCTATTAGGTTCTATATCTGATGCACTGTCCTATTATAGGTCCCTTCTCTGTTGTACTGTCCTTTTTGGTCTACATCAAGTGTACTGCCCCTAATACTGTTCAGCATA